CCATGGACTGCCAAGAAAACAAACAGATTCATCCTGGAGAGGATTAAACCAGGCTGCTTCTTGGAGGCAAGGATTCTAACATACTTTGGACATGTTGTAAGGAAGGACCGATCCTTGGAGAGGGACATCATGCTTGGGAGGATGGAGGGGCAGCGCAGGAGGGAAAGGCCCTCTATTAGGTGGATTGATAGAGTGACTGGGGTAATCAGGATGGGTGTGTCGGAGACAGTGCGATTGGCACAGAACAGAGCAGAATTGAGGGCTGTTGTACATAGGGTCACTGTGAGTCACAAGCGACTCAACGGCACATAACACCAGAAACAGCTAAACCAATGTATCACCTGATTTGCCTCTTTCTTAGGGCTAATGCTAAAGGAGGGCGCCTGGAAGGAATACAAATGGATGATCTGGAGAATAATTCTGAAGCTGGGGAGTTAGTACAGCCTATGCTCCCTGATGGAGCTTCTGCTGCCCCTGAAGAAGGTAAGGGATAACTCATAATGCAAGGTGCTCCTCACCCACGAGGAACCTCAGGCTCCTTACGTGTGATGGGAATTGTGCTAAAGTCTAAGGCTATGACTTCTATTTTTAAAAAAGATAGCTTTCCACTATACCTTTAAACAATTATTTGGTAAAAATTGTAAAAAAAATTATTTTTATATGTATATATATATAAATTTTGTTTGCATGTTAAGTTTATATACTACTCAAGAAGCCAACTAAAAAAACAGCTCTCGGAAGAAACACATATCGGTAAATATTAGAATTCCACACCCTCCATGAAGTTGTTATAAAGCAATATATACCCAACTTAGTAATTATTTTATGACCTAAAAAACAGCAAAAGAAAGATGGGTAGGTCTACTTTGTAAAGATTGCAGTGCTGCACACCCTGTGAGGGAGTTTCCCTGTCCTCAAAGGTTACTATGCGTCAGAATCGGCTTGATAGCAATGGATTTTTAAAAGCAGCTTTAGAAATGTGTGTCATTTCCAATGTACCATCACCCAGTTTTGTAAATATTGCTTAAATGTTAACCAGTCTCTGAATTTTTACTAAAAATTCAGTGTCTCCTCCTGAGTACATGCTACAGAATCCTCTAGATCCTGTCATTCCCAATTTGCAAATTGCTTTATCTCTCAATAAAAAGTCCCTTTTTTCTTGTCAAACATTTTACTCTTAAGAGGAGGTGGACCCTTTTTGGAGAGTCAATAAGGTATGGATTGGTTAATAAAAAATACGACATATAAAAAAAATATGATGTATTTGCTAATCAGACATTCTTGATCTGAGCACAGCATTTATTTTTGCCATTGAATTGAGTTTACCTAAGATATTAAACACTGAAGATGCAGAATAGGTGATTTACCATACAAAAGGACATATCTTTTTTTTTCTATAATTATATTTTATTAATTTTCATAAACATTTACAGAGATTTTGGGTTTCCATTCATTCACCGCTGCACCATTCTCTCTACCCTCCTCCCAGTTTGTTCTTGTCCAGATGCCACAGTGCTTGTCAAAGCCAGTTCTGATTAATCTTCTTTGTCAGTGTGTCCTTT